CCAAATGTGAGTTGAAAGCAACCCGCATTTTACCGTGTGACTGGCAATGTAGACATTATTTACTGACAGAAATGAACCTCCAAACGGGCCATGCGGAAGAGGCGTTGGACCAACACTAGGGCCATATCGGATTCTAGCAGGCGTTATCGGATTGCGCGTCATAGCAAACGCCAACATTTCCGGGTGCGGTGGCAGACCCGGTCGCTGGCAGACGTCACGCACCCTGGGAATCCGGCCCCCTCATTGTTGTTGTTTGTCAAAAAACCTGGTCCTTTGTTGTGTGGACCAGGGTGTATGGAGTGGAGCGCCAAGGGGCGGGCTCGGCCGTGCCATCCACCTGTGCCCACGCATGTCTCCGATTTTCTTGACTCTGTATTGACACTGGATCCAGGGGAGAGGAGAGAGTGTGGTAGATGCTGTGCAAGTCTGCCATCACCATAGTCTAATTCGCGCACAAGTCACCGTGCCTACTGCACCCTGCTGTATAGCACATGGTGGACACCGTCGGAATCGACGGTCGAACTGTCGTGCACGGGCAGAAGTAAAAATGTCAGGTTGGCTAGCAGTAAGAAATTATTTTTAACAACTACTCTCTGCAGTAACTGAACTAAGGACGCCCTTTAAGTCTGTAGTCATATTTTGGCTGAACACAATCATCTTCAACCAGATGAATACTCAAGCAATGATGCTGAAACCGAATTGCATGCAGGACCTGCAGGCAAGATGAATCATTTAAGATCAAAATTTGGTTTAATAGGCAACTGGAAGGCAAAGTCAATTAAATATCATGTGGTTTGTCGGGTCACCGTTGCCAGATTTCTAAACGTCACTTTGGGACTGGCCTTTTTCGTATTTTCACTATTAAACTCTCATGCACTGGCGCCATAACTCCCCTGTAAATGTATCTGCATGACTGCTTTTCAAATGTGTATTCGTGTGTTTCATCTTTGTGTTCGGAAGTCTGCGCCCCTTTCAGTCACCGTTTTGTGAACCGAGCAACTCCACTATAGGACACAAAGAGACTTTATTTATGGCCTACTTAAACGTAATTAGTAACACTTATTATCATTGTTAATATTCGCCATTGCAAGAAAAACTTTCAGCAAGAAAAGAAAGGGAAAGAATCGAGTTCGGCAACTAGAACATTAAGTTTACTTTACTGACTTTTCCGACTTGTGTCTGCATACTACAACAGAGAATAAAAAGACAGTGATCTTATTATCAGTCTATTTTGAGGTCGCTGGCCTCTGACTGAATTTGTCACGTCAGCAGCGAGGAAATAGGCGTTCAACAGTGGTCGCCCCCCTTGCGCATCACGTCAATAGTAGGGGCTTTCAGTGCGGACTGCTCCGCAATTAGATTGGACTAATTATGATGCAATCAATGGTACGCTACATTCGCTGATAAGGAAGTCCATCAGCTGTCCGAACGGCCAGATAAAGTTTCTAGATATTAACTTGAACTGGCCCAACTCCAGGCGCATGTTGCAACGCTGAGCCACTCGTGACTACTTATATGTGCGATCCAATTGCCGGCTGTCCAAGCTGGCCAATCATCTTCGAGGCCGACCCTAACATGAAATCGCTGAAGGCGCTGGACTACTGCCTGACACCCTCTAACGCGCTCTGGCGGCGTTGGACGTGCTCTCGTCTGACTACTAATTCCTACCAACTTCTTCTGTACAGACTACAACATCCTTCCGACTGGCATTTCAATTCCCCCCTTCCTGTTCAGAAATGGGTCAGATGGTCGTAGTGGCTAGTGTGTTGCCATGGCTTTAGCTTCCGCGATTGGCTCTCTTTCATTTGAATTATCTTAATTGTTTTCGGCGAATCGAGAAAATAGTTCAATTTCCATAGACATCGTGTACTTGACAGAATTTTGAAGGGTCTTATCCTGTCTTTTTATGTCTTGAAATGTTGCGTTAACTTTCGAAAGGCGAACCGTGCAGTGCGTGACCGATCTTATGAAATGTTTGCCAAAATTCTGGAATGTGTTTCCGATAAGGAAGGATTACTTAAGTAGGGTTTTTAAGCTGATTATCATACATCATAACCCTATAACATTTCGGACTCGGCAAGATGTCGGCTCTTCAATGCACTTCTTTTTGAATTCCTGCGGACGATACACTCGGCAAAAAAATGACTAATTACGTAGCACGCATTTTTTTCCTATTGCTTTTCGATAGTCTTACAAATTAAAATATATTTTATAGAAAACATAAACAACACTATGCTTTCTTTTGCTCATTTGGTAGGACATTACATTGTCTTCATATTTTTGCCCGAAGAAAGTGTATATTTTGGTTTTAAAAAGTTGATAATAATTAGATTTTTAAGACCGTGCGATGTCCATGCATGCAAGACCGCACATATCGGTCTACTAATGCTCCTCATGAAATGTACAAAACAGTCCGGATCCATTGCAAAATTTCATGAACTTTATGTGGCATCTTCTTAAAGGCATAGGGAAATATATTATTTTCCTTACGCGGAAAGCATGCACCCTGCACACTGAAATTTCTAAACGCTGATGCAATGGCAGATCAGGCTGAAAGTGATTCGAGAATTAGGAAACTTTCTTAAAACTTAAATACACACTTTCTTCGAGCATAAAGTACGAAGGCAATGTGGTTTCCTGCCAAATCAGAAAAAGAAAGCATAGTTTGTGCATGTTTTCTATAAAATATATTTGAATTTGTAAGACCATCGAAAATTAGTAGGAAAAATGCGTGCTGCGTAAGTAGTCATTTTTTATCGAGTATGTTTTCTGCAGGAGGTCAAAAAGAAGTGCCTTCGAAAGCCGACATTTTGGCGAGTCCGAAATGTTATAGGGTTATGCTGTATGATAATCAGTTTAAAAACCCACTTAAGTAATCTTTCGTAATCGGAAAAGCATTCCAGAATTTTGGGTAACATTAAATGAGATCGGTCACGCACTGTATGCATATAACTCGTAGTTTATACATCATTTCAAATGATTACACGCCTGTAATAACCCAGAAAGCGGACAAATGTGGCTGTCCAATAAGAAGATGGCAAATGGAGATCCAATCTTATTGGCTTTAACCGTCATTCATTACTTCACAGATTATCAGAGTCGATCGACGCTCCAGGCCAAGCAACGCCAAGAGGAGATAGAAGCGGCCCGCAGAAAGGCTGAGGAGGCGGCCGCCAAGGCGGCCGAAGCTCGCGCAGCCAGCGGAGCCCAGCGACAAGAGCGGCGTCGCCAGCGGCGTCTCCAGTTGGAGCACTTGCAACAGCAACAGCAGCAGCAGCAGCAGCAAAATGTCAAGTTCGGTGGCAGTCGCGTCGCCTCCGTGGACCTTCAGGGGGGCCCCGTGCTCAATCGACATCGCACCCTCCTCTCCGCGGAGGAGTCCCAACCGGGCAGCAACCTGCGTAGAAACACTTCCAGCGTCAGCGCGTCACCCGAAACCCTACGTAGCCGCCCTCGCATCGCTGTGACTGAAAATGGAGGCAGCCCTGCCTGAGATTCACGCATGAAACCAACACTATTTACCCCTACGGCTGACGGCCGTGACCTGGACCAAATGGCTTTCGCCGTTGCGGAATCTGGCGTATGAAGTTCCGTCTTCAAGCTCGCCGCCATCCCGTAACATCACTCATGATATATTTACTAGGACTGTCCCGCTGTATTGTAGATGAGGTATGCGGACATGCAGAATGAGTCGTTCCTATTATTGACCAAAGCATGCATTTACTTGTTGAAAATGCATAATGTGCCTTCATTGAATCATTCGAATAGTCTTGATTGTGCCATATATATATGGCAGTGAAGGGGGGGCTTGACGGCATGCCTATCGGTCCTGCGTTCAAATTCGTGCGTGAGTTAATCAAGAGGAGGTAATGATTGAATATTTAGCTCATAGTTTTTATTACTCTAACATGCCTGCGTGCCTGATTTAAGTATGATTTAAGAATGATTACACTTTAGTACTGAGAACACTGAATGTTGTGTAATGATGCCTCGCCAGAGAGCCCGCCGACCCGAGAGCGTTTAGACACCGCATGCCAGGCCTCACAGTCGATCTATACGCTAGTATAATTTGTGCGCCGAAAAGGGTATGGTAACACTTGTTGGTAGAAGGCCATTTTTATGACGGCACGCCGAGCATAGGTTGCCAGTAGCTAAAATGTAAGCGTGTTAGCATTTCGATACCAAACCACAATGACAATTGACCTGATTAATTGAACCTACCGAAACGAAGTAAGTAGCAATTATACGTGAACCTGTATCTATTCCGTATCCTTCTGCAACCAGATCTCTGGAACACAACATGCACCTGGTCTTAAACTTCCCCTGCCGCTGCAAATGGGATATGAAAGCATACCTACGTTTGGCGTCTAGCTGTCTTCGCTATTTGATTAAGGCATGGCCGGCCAATGACGAATTCTGGCCCAGAAGCCCTCTCAGCAGCATACTCACCCTCTGGTATCACGCTGGTGGAAAGTAATGGGGACTATTATCTCCAAATTGTCATCACACCAAACAGCCCTAGTGCAAGCATCGCTTTGCCGTTGAGTAGAGCTCGCGCTCTGCAAGCGCCGCCGATCCTGCCTTCTCGGTTTCCATCGGAGTCCATTTCTGACGTCTGCTTCCAGCGGGAATTCAACGTCAGTACGATGGCACCTATTGATCTGGATGTGAACATCGTTCTTGACATAACTTTCCGTTTCATTATGTCTGTCCTAACAGAGTATGCTGACTCATAGTAGCACCGTTTTGGTCCAACATACCAGGGGGAGGCAGGAATTGCTGTTTCTTGTTTAGATGCCATGACCAAACAGCTGGCATGGGTTAGACCCGTTGGTTATAATTTTGCACTTCGATTAGCGCCGACTCCGGACCAACTCTCAGGTCTTCCTAACCTACGGTCAGCTTTGGCTAGCTGGCGACGACGACGAGGACGACGATGTCCATGTTAGAAATGGTCACTCCGACCCCTCCTCCTCCTGCTGCCTCCGGTGGTAACTCTCCTAGGTTAGTGATGGCTCATTGTTGGGCGACCCCCCGTAAGTGGGGTCCCATTTCAAAACGTAATCATCTTCTGGTAGAAGCATTTGCGTCGTATTTGTCGCTTTACTGAACACTTTAGTCTTTAGGCCACCATAATCTTTGCGGCAGGCGAGGACATCCAGGAAGGCCAGCTGGTTGTTTTCTTCCTCCTCCATCGTAAATTGTATGTCCCGGAAGACGACGTTCAGATTTTCTTTGAATGCCGGCACCTGATCCCGATCGATGACGACAAAGGTTTCACCCATATTCGAGCCCAGCATTTCGGTCTGTGGTGTCGGAAAACCAGCGACTCCAACCGTTGTAGGACCGTCGTCATCGATCGGGATCAGGCGCTGACAGTGAAAGAACATCTCAACGTCTTCTTCCGAGACATTCAGTTTACAATGATGGAGGAAGAAAATAACCAGCTGGCCTGCGGCAAAGATTGTGGTGGCCTAAAAAACCAAAGTGTTCAGGAAAGCGACAAATACGACACAAATACTGAACTTGAACAGCAACTATCCGATCAGTCATAAACGCAGTTGCGTAAGAACGCTATACCGGCGCGGTGAGAAGCACCGCAGTGAAATGGAGGACAAAGTTGCTGAATTACAATATCTTTGACGGATTGCTAGTCGTCATGCTATCGCCTTCGTAAGCTGCATACCCCCAATTTCGGTGCGAGACGGATACACCCACTTCATCCTTTAATCAGTACAGACGAGCGCACACATCCCTCATGAGTAGTGGTCGATTCCATCGAGGATACGTCAAAACCAACGCGCTCCTCTCGAACAGGCAAAAACAACGATTCCCCCAAAGCCCACAGCCACCTCCAACCCTACGTCAGCACAACGTATTTTCGTTATGCACACGAGAGTTCGACCGTCGTTGCCGAAGATGTCCACATGTACTGCACAGGGGCGGCGACCTGTGCGTGAATTAGTTTGTAGTGGTGGTAGACTTGCACAGCATCTACCACACTCCCTCCTCCCCCACCTGGACCCGGTGTCAAGAGAGAGTCAAGAAACCGGAGGCGGAGGAGATCGCAGTTGAATTGCCCGGTCGAGCCCGCATCTTGACACTCCGCTCCACGCCCCCTGGTCCACACAGCAAATAACCAGGCCTTCGACCAGCAACAACAGTGACGGAGCGGCAAGGGTCCCAATGTGCGTGCCGTCTGCCGACAACCGGGTCTGCCACCGCATTCCGAAATGTTGGCATTTGCTACGGCGCGCAATCCGATAACACCTGCTAGAATCCGATATGGCTCTATTGTTGGTCCAGCGCATCTACTACGTTGCCTTTTTAGGAGGCACACCCACACACACATGCCCCCCGTCAGAGGATAAGGCAACAGCGGTGGGCTGCCGTGAGCGCATTTGCACGACAATGTGTACTACTTGTGATGGCGCAATAGACGCTCAGGGCTGTGCCAGTCGGCGCTTTCCTTAAATATAGCAAACAGTGCTGGTCGCCAGACCACTCTGGCGGTTTTCTACAAAAGAAGACTGGTTCCTCACACGCCAGTTGCCACACATGGGTCTGCTCTGGCGCAACAGGAGCAGATCTGCACCCACCACTACTTCCGCTGAGGACTTGACGTAAACAAAGTCGGTCGTGCGATGAGCCCTGACAGTTCCCTGCAAAACAACGTCGATTCTGCATAAGCCCGTTGGCACCACATGAACCTGTTGTGGTGCAACAGAAATTCGGGGTTGCGCCAGCCCATACTGCCGCCGGCAAGTTGGGGCGGCAAGCTGTGTCGGTCGCCAGATGAGCCGGACGTGTTGCCGAAATACTCCTCTCCTGTCAGACTCTGGCTTTTGCTGCCCTGTATCGCTCACGATCTGTGCTCTGACGAGCAGTTCTCAGTGAACTCGCCATAGAATCTACTGGTGTTGCAAGCTTCCTCGTCAAATGAAGCCGACGAGCGCGCAAACGAAACAGGAGAGCAGACTGCACTTGCTCTAAGCTCCTGTACGCCAACAAGGTCGCGAAGACGTCCGCCGCCTTCTCGTGCTACTAGCGGTCGGGGTTGCGCACAGACCGGAAACAACCGTAAGGCGCCAAGCAGTGAGGCCACGGCGAGAAATGCCTGGAGTCGTTGACCGGATTTAATGCAGTTGCTGGCAGTACAATTACGTCGGAGAGACTGGAAGGTTTCCTTGGACACGAGTGTCCGAAGAACAGTGAGGATATACTATCTGGAACACCATTAATAATCTCTTCTGGTGGGAGGCATACTTATGGATTCCAGTCGGTATTTCACGAGGATGGAAGCAAATTGCCGTTCGTTCTGTAGGCTAGGATATGTGACCGCCGGTTATGGATCTTTTTAAAAAGTGTCCGGTTTAAATTTCTGAGGCATGATACTTGTACCATCCATTCTGCTGTCTTGCATGCTCAAGATTGCGGATCGATGCACAAAATTCCCCTTAGAGGGAGAGAATATAATTGCATTATTGATATAAAAAAGAAGTTTTGAGATAGGGAACCGACACGAGGGCCAGATCACTCGGGAGGGAGAAAACAGTTTTTGTGGCGCGTTAAAAGACGTAAGATAAGGCAGAGGATGCCAGACAAGCTCAAAGGGGATTTCATGGAAAGACAGACAGCAGGAGGCGATGGAGCCTCTATCACAAAACGCTAGATGGTAAAAAAAAGAGACAGGGGGATCCTAGTGCCTGAACTTGTTCATCCACCCCTCAGCAAAGTAGGGCTCCAGAAAGCCACGAAAAGACAGGGGCTCAACCAGGCAACGTAGACCATAGCCCTGACCCGTGCGGACCTCCAAGGCGGGCAGTTCGCCCTGCGGAAGGAAGAAAGGGATTGGCAAGTTCCAATAATGGGGTCATATATATACATATAAATGTTTATTTAATAATTCTGAAAATCATCAACCAAATAACGTGGAGTTAATTTCCCGGGATACAGCTTTTTAGGACCGGGTCCGAAATCTTAGAAAATATTTGACCGACAACTATCCGGAATCAATGCGTGGTGACTATCCTTCGAGAATGCTGTACTACAAGTGGCATACTTTTGTACGGCAGTAGTTGTGCACATTTTCCACATATCTGAAAAGGAAACGGGGAACCAGTGTTAAAAATATGCGGAATAAAGTTCGTTACGTTTCCCAAGGGACTTATTTCTTCCAGATTGACCTTCTTAGAAAGCCAATCTTTCAATACCCACACCTACATATAAATTCACTTAGAATTGGACGCACACCGATCAATTGGCTTTCCGAAGCAAGCAAGCTTCGTATAGGTGATAGGGGCCACGAACAGGCAATCACCTAACAGGGCGAAGTCGGTCAAGCTATGATAGCAGAGGGAGACGACGGAGTCTGGGGGGGGGGAGGGGGGGAGGTTAGAGTGATGCAGAACTGTATCAAGCTTGTTTGCCTTCATTCAACTAATAATAATCCTGACCACTAACATGCTAACACACACTTGGCGCAGCTGGTCCACCATTAGGGTCTACCAGATAGGTCATAAGGACTTAATCGAACTCAAGTTCCTCAGTGCATCGCCACCTGCCATTCCCAATTTGCAGTGACAGAGAATGGTAGGGGGGCGCTCACCGATAGTTCTTACGGGACTCACTCGTTCCGTTGTGCCTTACGGGCTCTCTCTCTCGAGCCCAACCAGCAGCCGCACAGTGGCGCATGATAAAGGCAGAATGGCATTACCGACAAGACAATGGAGACTGGAATGGCCATTTCCGGCTTATTAGCCGTCGTCAGCCAGTCATACATATATATATGATTCTGCAGGCAGGTATCCAGAGAAACGTAATCTGAAGTCGAATACGTCCTTTGAGAGAAGCAAAAAAACTTGATTGGGTAAACTTCCGACGCAGGTTCCACAAGTCGTTGTCAGACGTTGAGAAAAAAACAATAAAAATTTTAAACGTGCTTAAAAAATCGATGCTTGTTCGGTGTTTAGGCCAGTAAGCGGCTTTCCCGTACGTCATTCTGTATTACTCGGTTTTTGTCTCCTCCATTTGTCCTCGAAATTTCTGTATACGACATGTGACTCAGCGTTCCGATCTGAATGCACGGTGTCGGGAAACCCGACCTTTTTAACAGGACAGACACCGATGATGCCAGTTTTATCCCGGACGAAGGTGTACGCGATACCTAGGGTATACGTGGCCACTTGAGACAAATAGTTACATCTAACTGCCAGATTATGCTCGTGGATGCGTGCAGAGGTGGACTTTCCCGTTTGGCCACAATACAAGACATCACAGGCATCGCATGGGAGCTTGCAGACGATGTCCCTCTCATCGAGATAACCAACCCTATCCTTGGGCTGTACAAGACGGAAGTTCCGCTTCTACACGCATCCACGAGCATTAACTGGTAGAAACCATCTGGCTGAATGAAATCCAGTTAAATTCATGAATCACTAAGATGGCCATACCAGCTGGCGGGAGAAGCGGGATAATTTCACTAGAGGGTCTGGAATCAAAGAGCTTACACAAACCGAGTCAAAAGAACACCAGACAAAATTAGTGTAATTGGGTCACAAACCAAAGACGTATTGCGATAATGGACCTGCGACCAAACAGACGGCAAAAAATCAGAAACGCCCATTTCGTTCGCTCTGTTTTGAGTTGTTGATAGTACTCTGTGATCTTAGGAGACTTTAAAGAATCCTAGAACATACTACTGACAACACCCCGACTCGTTTCGAAGTCACGAAACTGGTCGGAAACATCTCACAATGTTCGCACACTCACCGGCAGACCGTGAATGTTGATCCAAAGCGCCTCATCAAGCACACGCTCTAGCAGGACTTCACCTCTTGCATTCTTCTCCTCCTCGGCTACAAGGGGACAGAGCATTCAGTTACGAAATTGAAGGCGAATAAGGTTGGAGCAGAAGGAGCCAAAGGCCGGCGATGAGACCCCCAAAAGCAGATTTAACGGGAAAAAACAGTCAGCAAATGCTCTCTTGCGAACAAAACTTTTGCCACCAAAGCATCCCAGGGACTTCCGTGAAAATTCGAGACTGGTGTGCGCAGCGATTTAAGGCTAGAAATACCCGTGGTGCTGGTGTCCTTGGTGAGGCCCTATCTTACATTCTCTTTCTCCAACAACGACCTGCGTTAGAGATGCGTCGGGCCACAAGGAGTCAGACCGGTTCACACCACGCGTTTATCTGGCAGCTGCCACCTATGCATGTGACAGGGCTTAGACTTAGGCCTTCACACTGTGTCGGCCACTCGGCCTAATTCCTTCACTCGTTGGTTGGCAGGCTCAGAGAGTCGACTGGTGCATAGGAGAGAAAAGATTGAGATCAGGACCGGGGATTCCATCCCCACGGCACATCAGCGCGTCCCTCACAATATGGCGTGCTTGAATCCGTCACGAGGTGCCAGCAGTTGCGACGTAGAAGGTTTCCAACCGACAGGATAACTCGGACCTCCCCAGGACTGACAGTCACGACGTAATGGCTCTCTCTCTCTCTCTCCCATCCCGGTCTTCATGATACGAGCCGCCCCCATAGCGGCCCAGTGGACGTAAGGAATAGGTCATGTGTGTGGCACGTGTAGACAGTCTGTTCAGATTCCTCGGACACTGTATCCACGGCCACTTTCGGTTGCCCTGGAAGAGTCCTTCCACCAAAGCAAGGCGAGTGAGCGCGCGCGTGAGGTATATACATCGCAAGTCTGCCCCACTAACTGTACATCGCAAGTCTGTCCGCAACTTACTGGTGCTGCACACACCCGTAGGGCGCGCGATGGACACTGTCACTGTCGTTAAGGACACGCTCAGCGCTTCCCGGAAACCAGTCAACCACAGGAAATACGAGCATTCAATTAATTCAAAGGTAAGTCTGAACAAGACAAGGCCTGAATGGATGCCAAATCCTCAAGAGGACCAGCTTCACCAGAAGGGGGGACGGGAAAGGGGGGGGGCGGGACTGAGGGAACACTCACTTCCGGAACACTCGCCCCACCAAGCCCTGGTACTGTCCCGTACGGCGTGTTTCGCAACGGCACGTCCCGCCACGGTGAGCTTAGCAAGACGGCTGAAAAAAAAACAAAACAGCAGAAGTTGAGAAAAAACCCAACTGAGTACAGAAACAATTACAAAGAAGTCCTGAACTCCGGCCTTCAGGACTTTGAAATCACCAGGTCAACAAACTTGAACTAATTCTGAGTTTTTGGCCATATCATCCTCAGCTGGTAGACTATCGACCAAGGCGGCTCATTCGACGGGTTCCGGCCACACATTCAAATTCGACGAGGCCAAAATTCTCGCGAGAGGTGACAACCGTGTGAGCCGGGAGCTGCTTGAGTCATGGTTCAGTGGGCCCCAGTCCATTGACAAGTGCAGTGATCTTCCCATTCCATACTCAGTGCTGCGACTTCGCCTAGGCGGAGTAATTGGCCACGTGGGGAGCGCACAGGTGGACACATTTCCAAACACCAGGGTCAGTGCGTCAGGTGGTCGAGCACGTGCAACGATCTCTGGTGAAGGGGGGAGTCGTGAATATTCATAGATATGTGGTAGCATGGCGACTGCCTCCTATAAATACTGCAGCCCCTTGTGCATGAACCACCCGTATTTGCCGTTGTCTCTGAGGATGGGTTCGAGCAGGAATCAGAAATGTCGGGCTAATAAAGCTCTCGTCCAAACGATCGTGTCTCCTTCTTCAAAACCGAGGCTAAGTATACGCCAGAATAAATCAATATTAGGGCGAGGTGTCACATGTACTACTAATCAGGATTGCAGGGCACGCACGCTTGCCGTAAAACATGAGAGAACGAGTCCCCTCCCTCCTTACACGGGGAAGCGTCTTACTATTTTGAACTATCTGACCTTTTCTCTAGTTGCCCATAGAAAACATGGCTAAACCGAAGGTGAGAATAAAACGAACAGATCCGCCCCGTACTGTTGTGCGTGATTGCAGTAACCTTAATGGCGATGGGAGCCTGCCCTAGTGGGCTTGGTAAGCGGTCAAGCTAAATGGCCAGTAGTTGGACTCGTGAGTACCTCTGTGAAGCAGATTATAGCCCAACAGCTTAAACTGGAGACGCTACAGAAGAGTCGTGGAGTCTTGTAAAGTCTCGACACAAGACAACAAAAGCACACAGTGTTTATAGCAATACATGAGGCACAAAACACTGTTCCCTAAGGAAACTGTATGATCACAAATACAAGATTTCAAGAAAATGTATACAGTCGACCCTCCCCCCCCCTCCTATTCGCCCATGAATTTGACTTGGTTTTGTGACTTAATACATCTTTTATGATGCAAAGGGGAGAAGACGTGGTTATGTAGCCCCAACCGATGGACACAATACTATTAGGGTTGGGGTTAGAGTTAGGGGTTAGGAGTTAAGGTTGGTGTCAGGGGTCAGCACTGGGATTAGTGGTTAGGGCAACTATTCCCCAACCACTCAAAGTACAACGTGCATTCCAAATAGCTTTTCTTCGCATAAAAATACTTGACCTCGTCGCTTGTGCGTTTCCCGGTCCCACCTGTAAAAACCCCTATTACCAACGGTCCCATATTACAGGTGGCTGGGGTCTGTTTACTTCAGGTAGGGCTACATAACCACACCTGAAAAATAACGGATTTGTTAATTTACAAATATTAATGTTGGTGTAAACACATCAAAGTACCAATAAAATGACTTTTTTCCTAAAAAGCGTTCGTCAAGCGATACGCAAATTCCAAACATAAAGCTCCGGATTAATTTCATCACGTGTGACAGTGATGCTGGATCCATGATAAAACTAGGCTTCGAATCCCGCGGCCCTCAAGAGTAGGAACAAAAACTTATTTGAAGGAGACACGATCGCTCGTACAATAGCTTTATTAGCCTGACGTTTCGGATTCCCGCTCGAGCCCATCATCAGACAAAAGAAGATACGGGTGGATAATGCACAAGGGGCTGCAGTATTTATGGGATACAGTCGCCATGCTACCGCATACCTATGAACATTCACGGCTCCCCCCATCATCCGTGATCGTCGCACTTGATGTGTTAATTGTTTGATGGCCGACATTCGCGTCGTTAATTGCAGCAATTTCATCACGTGCGTTGGGGATTGGTATGATGATTGGTTGACCGTCTGATCCACCGACCCTGGCGTTGGGAAAAGTGTCCACCTATGCGCTTCCGGCGTGGCTAATTACCCCGCGTAGACGAACTCTCAGCGCTGAGTATGGAAGGGGAAGGTCATTGCACTTGTTAACGGACTGGGGGGCCAGTAAACCATGACTCAAGCAGCTACTGACTCATGCGGTCGTCACCTCTTGCGAAAATTTCGGCCTCGTCGAATTTGAATGCGTGGCCGGATCTCGTCGAATGAACCGCAACTTGAGAGCTGGCGTCATTTACCCGCACCGCTGCAGCGTGTTCGGCCATTCTCGTTCGGAGCTGTCTTCCGGTTTCTCCGACGTATTTGCTTTGTCCGCAACTATTGGCAATGACAAAAACTTACTGCCCGTGTTCTGGAAGCACAACGCCAAAGCCTGGGTCATCAAATTCCTTACGTCTAACCAGTTCATTCAGAGCCTCATTCTTCAAGATAAGGACTAACTCAACGATTTGTACATGGAGTTCGAGGTGTTGTTGCTTATGAATAGTGCACGTGGCCATCTTGTGGACCTTTAGCACGAGGTAGCTGGGCTCGAGCACCCTCCCCCCCCCCCTGGGGACGCCACCTTTTTGCTCCAGTCTATAGAGATCAGGGTGTGATGCGTGCCTTCAAGGCACGCTACATCCGGAACTCGCTCGAGCACCTTGTTGAGGGGAATGGACACTGACAACGAGTTTACACTGAGGGAGTATTGGCGTAAATTCACGATTGCCACAGGTCTGACGCTCATCGGCCGATCGTTGAGGCATGTGCAGAAAGAAACCCTTAATGCATACTGGAAGAAGCTGTGGCCGGAGCGTATTCACAATTATAAGAGCTTATCTCCAGAAGAAATTCAAAGTTCGCTTATTTATAAGGCAGTCAGAGGGCTTGGTGGAGTGCGGCCTCAACGACGTCCCCGAGGCTGAAGTCGTCAACCTCGATACCCGCTCTGACCCCTTGACCGACCGGGATTTGGACGAGCTGACAAAGTCTACCACCGAAGAAGACAGGGCATGTTTAGGGGACGTGGAGGAGGGTCTGACTTTGGAACGTCTATGGACCTGCAGGAGATCATTTGGGCGTGGAATCCTTATATGGAGGGCTCCATAATGTCTTCTTGATGCGCGCAAAGGAACCCATAATAATCTCCCTCTCACCATGACGAGGCAGAAACGCCATGATTCTCGAACTCATGAAGAAGGAACCCCAAGGTCTCCCGAAACCGCTGTGTTTTGATCTGTAGTCATATCTTTATCGTTTTTTTTACCGGTTTGCACAGCTAATCCTTCATGGTCGTCATCATCATCGTACGTTATAAAAAAACCGTCAAGGCTTGAATATTGTATAAAAGAAAATGTGCGTGCCCGAATATAGGGGTGACTTGATTACTTTTCGTCCTAGTAAGTGTAGCACTTGCAGGTGTTCACGCGTAGTTTTAAGTCACATATTTTTAAGATTAGTGTTGAAAGATGACTTTGAAATAATATTAAAGTGTTTAAGGATGGGAGTTTAAGGTATATTTGGTTTTGGAACATTAAAACAGGCAGCTACACGAGTTTTAAGAGGGGTCCCAAGCATTCGCGAGGGTCTGTAGTCCCTAACCCCCGAGAATACCGGGGGTCGACTGTATACACCTTAAAAACAAGCACGACGATCAACATTTAACAGATACCTAAGCGTGCTTTTCTGGCCTAGAGCACAGTCAAAGCCCTCATTTTGTGAAATACCCTGCAGTCAGTTTATTGACAGCCACAACCCCGGCGCCTCAAAGACAGATTCTTGGCAGATGAGGATACCACAGCGGTTTAAGGCATGGGCAGGCCTAAACTACTACGACTGTCAAGCACAGGCTTCCGGGAGAATTGAGTGCCAGCGTGCCCGCGTGAGTTGATGGGACATTTTGGATGGATGTAATTGGTCGGACAGCACACTGGACCTCGCTGTCAGAGATTGGCCAGACGTTATGACAGCATCGCAATGTCAGACGAGTTAACTGTATGTGTGCGTTAGCATTGGACTTTTTACTAATTTTAAAATAGCACAAAGATCGTTGATGTGGTGGTGGTGGTGGTGGTGGTGGTGGTGGTGGTGGTGGTGGTGGTGACAGTGGTAGAAGGGAACGGGGAAGAAAATGAATTACGGAAAATATGCCCACATACTGATGCAATTGCTTTCCGGACTCGATAATCTCTTCACGCGTGAATGGGAAGACGTCGCGAGAGCCGACGGTCTTCCTCATTTGCAAAAGATCCAGCATGCCCCTCTTTCCAAGAATCTGAAAAAGTAGCAAGTTCCGGTTGGAGAGAGGCGCGCAAAATGTGCCAGTCAGGAATAACCACCCTACTTGTAGTGCAACCTCGTCCGTTGGTACCCGAACCGCTGGCAATTAAGTTGCGTCCATCATCCGAAAATGACCAGATGACAGGGGTATATAAATGCGTAACTTAATGATGAGTTCCCCATACAGGGGCGTAAATCGACCCTTCTTTAATTCATTGCCAGCGTTCATGGTTAGTGGACGGTCGCCAATTGGTGGATATGGCACTAAGATATCAAAATCTCCATTTACTCCGGGCAGTGACGCACGGCTCGGTAGACAGGGGGGATGTCGATACTGCGATTGACAGTTTGCATATCACAGAAGCAGTTACTACAAAGCAAGTCTACTCGCAGACTACAATGATTCTGCAGAACCTAAACAACAGACAGCTCCAGGAAAAGCAGGCGCCTAGCTTGCGAACTCACTCCCAGAAGAAGCTCAACTCTTCGACGGAACCGTTCAAAAGTCCAGTACTTGAGCATCTGTGGGATGGGTTGGGCCAGCTCTAAGATCCGTTGGAGGCGATCAATCCTAGAGTAAAGAGGAAAATAACTCGTAAATAATGCATCTGAGCGTTACCTTTAACATGAGCATTGAGACATGATTCTCAAAATGACATGCGCAAGAAATACGACGTTTAGAGTAAGGTGATACCATATTAACAGCACAGGTACTAGCCAAAAGCCCATACACGCGTGTTTCGCCGCTGCATGGCGCAGCTGCGAGGGGTTCGGCTTGTCAGTGGGTCCCCTAGCATTCCCCGTGTGTTTTCTGGTAGATACTCCAATTTAGAAATTGTCGCTCCTTAATTTTCTCAGAAATTTACGAAGTTGCAGTAGATCAGTTTATTCATGGTCTATAAGCTCAGACCGAGAATTTTATACATGAATATTTGGGCCAAAGTCCATCAGCCACAGCGGGTAATCGTGTAATATTCATTAACCGCCGACAGGCAGCTAGTAGTATACTTTAGGGTAAGGTGATACCATACCAACAGCACAGTCATTAGCGGTGAAGGTGAATAAAAAATGTTCAATTTAGCGGTGTTGATATCAGAATAATACGTCCCCTGATGGTCAGAGTCAGATAATGATAGGTCCTGCCGAAGACCCGTACAACTATGTGTTAATCCGGTTTACAGTGACTTACAACTCATGACAAATCCGGCCGCGATAATCTCGCCAGATTTGGTACTCTGATGCAGACATCAACCGTTGTGTTGGTGGCGATGCCTACTACAAGGGTTTTCGGTCCTTCGCGCTCATCGAAAAAAAAACAGCAAAACCCGCCCACTTATTGCTTACAAATGCGTTACCTCTCCTCAACCCAACCCGGTGAAGCTCGTGTGTGGCTTCTTTCGCATCACCAGTCGAACGTGTCCGTCATAAAACAACAAAAATGACGGATCCATGTTTGACGGTCGTAAAAGACGACCACGTTCCCCTCGCCTTCTTCTAAGTAGCGGTGACTGGCGCGTCAATTAGTGAGATAGAACTTGCGTTGCACCAACCGCACCCTCTTGTCCCTCACCCGACTTGCTCCGATGGCGAGACAAAGTCAATACAGCCGGAGATAGGTGTGGTAACAGTGAATGACGAAACTAAACAGTCACAAAGGATGTGATTCACACTTGTACCAGGCTAAGCATACGGACCCGTACAATCCCACACGATAGCTCGACAGACGCGAACAACGACGCTCATCAGGCGCTCCCCGCGGAGTGGGCAGACTTGAGCTGCATCTGCCGCACTCTCTTCTCCCCCACCTGCCTTGCTCTGATGACAAGGCGATGACCAGACGATCAGACGCAAGCTCTGGTGCAGCGGCAGAGAAAGTTAAACAACCCGTCTGGACTTGTCGCAAGCGATTTGGCCCAACGGGCTTCTGTTGAGGCCCCATTAGAGAGTTATTGTAGCCTGCACTATCCCGTCAGCTGCCATGATCCCTGGCAGTTCAGTCTCATTAAGGGAAAGGTAGGCGAACGCCTCCGAACTCCCTATTGGTTACAATAGTGCCGCAGAAAAACACCAACACATAAAGGTGGGAGGAAGATTTGCTGAAGAATTACATGCAACAGGCATGCAACTGTCCCATGAACACTAGGACGTGTTAATGTATGCATGGTGTGGCGAAGTTGGGAATGAATCAAGGTGCATTACTGAAATAAGTCGAGTAGTCTGGGTGGAGCAGTTAAACTTCGAACGAAGTGTGCTGGATCACACGCCGTGACTGGCTCAATGACGTCAGATTTCTTACTGACGGATGCGCTAGCGTGGCCTGGGGGTGGATTAAACAGTGCCAGCCTCACTCTTTCTCCCACTCTTTCATTTCCCATGCGCCCGTCGACTGTCCTAGCCTGTCGCCCAGCTGGTGGTGAGATTTGGAGGATAGGCCGGAAGGCCTACATCTAGGGCGTCCCACACACATACACAGCAGTACTTGTAGGTTCGCCCGAACTCTGCACAGCCAGACAAACGAGCCCCGCGAGTCAATTTCGCTCCTCGTTTTAGTCCGACAGCACGGCCAGCTGTGGGAGTCGTGCACACACATCACGCATCTGCACGCTTCCCGCCTACTGACGCACGCAAACACGCCGCCCCTGCACCAACGACACTGTTTTTGAAACCTGCTTGCTCCTGTGCAGTGCAAACGGCTCAGCTCTCAGGTTCGGTTCGACGATGACGGTGATGGCGAGTTGAAAATTCACTAACACACCCCAAAGAGCTCCACGTGGGCTCTAGGTCAACACCACCCAACAGACGCCAAGCGTTATCTGTTTGACTGCAGCAGCCGCATTCGATTCATAGGTATTTTGGCAGATTTTGAATAATTCATATTGACCCAACTGTGAAAAACTCGGCGCCTCGGTGGGATTCGAACCCCCGCAGTAAGGAGAAGGCTTTAGTACAGCCAACGCTCTAACCACTTGAGCTACGAGGCCCCGCCGGACGACGCGAGTTTAATCACATTTGGGTCAAGTTTACCCGCCCAAATGTGATTAAACTCGAGTCGTCCGGCGGGGCCTCGTGGCTCAAGTGATTGGAGCGTTGAATGTACCAAGGCCTTCGCCTTACTGCGTGGGCTCGAATCCCACCGAGGCGCCGAGTTTTTCACAGTTGGGTCAATATGAATTATTCAAAATCTGCCAAAACATCCATGTATTACGTAAGCCTGGTAGTCATCTGGTGGATTCTAGGTGAATTACTTAGGAAATCCTGCTTGGGCAGTCAACTTACTGTATCAGATTTGGTGGATTGCAGACGTTGCAGTAGGTTGGGCGGGTAAACTTGACCCAAATGTGATTAAAATCGAGTCGTCGGCGGGGCCTCGTAGCTCAAGTGGTTAGAGCGTTGGCTGCACTAAAGCCTTTTCCTTACTGCGTGGGTTCGAATCTCACTGAGGCGCCGAGTTTTTCACAGTTGGGTCAATATGAAGCATTCGATTCGTTGTGTCGTTGTTTGATTTTTTTAATGTCAAAAGGGCTGATTGTTCTGATCCAGGTGGGGGCGGGGGGGGGGTATTCTTAGTAAGGGGTCAATTTTTGACACACGAGTGTACCACCGGCTATGTTTGTTCTTAGGCTCTCTGGAACAAAGCAGCAGACTAGATGTTCAAGGAGGTCGAGGAGACATAGAGCGACGACTGAACTAGAAGTAGACTGACCGCCAGATCTAGCAGGACGGCTTAAGCCAAAGGACTCCTGTTGAGTACTCGGCGTGTCGATAGATGTGTATGTTAGGTTGTCGAGATGGAAGGTGAGCGAGCACTGGACACGGTTGGCCACCGTTGCCTGGGGAACCATCCTCCGAATGAAGAACACCGATCTCGTCTCAAATCAGAAAGTTCACAATCAGTGCTAGAGGGGCGCTCACCGATCGCGTTACAGAACTCACTCGTTCCGTTGTGCCTTGGGGTCCTATCTCGAGCCCCAAGCAGCCACACAGCGGCGCATATTATGGGCGGAATAGCGTTACCGACAAAGACAAGGGAGACTGGAATGGCCACTTTTGGCAGATTAACCGTTGTCGGCCAGTCATACCCAACCCTGAAGAGTGGAACACTTGGGGCTCGATCTCGCGGCCTGTTGGTTAGAAGTCCAACGCCTCTAACCACTGGGCCACGGGCTAGTTGTCCTGCCGGCTGCGATGGGGAATATACAATGGCAGAGGGACGCTCACCGATCGTTTTTAAAGAACTCATTCATCCTGTTGTGCCTTAGGACTCTCTCTATGGCCCAACCAGCAGCCCCACAGCGACGCATAATATGGGCAAAATGGTATTGCCGACAAAGACAAGGTAGATTGGAATGGCCACTTCTGGATTATTAGCCGTCGTCAGCCAGCCATATCCAACTACGAAGCGTGGAACATCTAGGACTCGATCCCGCGACCTCTTGGTTAGAATTCCAACGCCCCTTAACATCGCATGGAGAGTAGTCAGCGTCAATGAACTCTGCGGATGTGTAGGATGTCCCTTCCCCGTCTACGCCGTCCTCCTCACATCACGGAATAGTGCTGTATTAATCTACGGTCATCCGTCTTGTCAGCCAATCCATATTGCGGCTCGAGAGAGAGAGAGAGCCCCCAGGGCATAACGCAACGAATGAGTTCCGTGACATGGTAGGTGAGCGTCCCTCAACCAATGCGTATATCCGACCGCAACCGACAGAACAAGGAGCCCGTAGCTCAGTGGTTAAGGGGTGTTGAACTTCTAACAAGCAGGTCGCGGGATAGAGCCCCAAGAGTTACAAACCTTGGGGTTGGGTATGGCTGGCTGGCGACGGCTAATAAGCCATAAATGGCCATCCCAGTCTCCCTTGTCTTTGTCGGTAATATCATTCTGCCTATATATCATGCGCCGCCGTGCGGCTGCTGGTTGGGCTCGAGAGAGAGCCCTTAAGGCACAACGGAACGAGTGAGTTCCGTATGAACGATCGGTGAGCGCCCCCTAGCATTGTATATTCCCGATTGAAAACCGACAGGGCAACGGGCTCGTGGCCCGGTGAGTAGAGGCGTTGACTTCTAAACCAACAGGTCGCGAGTTCGAGGCTCGGGTGTTCCACACTTCGGGCTTGGGTATGGCTGGCTGACGACGGCTAATAAGCCAGAAATGGCCATTCCAGTCTCCCTTGTCTTTGTCGGTAATATCATTCTGCCTATATATCATGCGCCAGTAATGTTATTCTGCGGCCGTATTACGTGTGGGTGATTCGGATGCATTCTCTGTCGCCTGAACTAGTACCGAAGGTCCTTTAGCAGGTGAACTCAAAACTTGGCCAAACGCATCCTCCAAGGCATGGAGGTAGTTCTTAGGCCTTCGGTACTCGATGTCCGTCACTGAATTGGACGCACCTGACTGACTGCCTGTGATCGTCACACGACATTGTCACAGTCGCAGCAAGAGCAAAGTAAGTCCGGCGGAGCAATTTATCCCGACAGACGTCGGCAACCTTGTGGGGCAAGAATTTTTGCGCGTGACAGACTTGTTGTAGAGAGTAAATAGGACGCAAAGTCAGACACACTCTTATCGCCAATATGCCCAGTAACAATTCAGACTCAACATCGCAGTCCACTCTGGAGACCCAGATATAAAAAATGCAAATCATAGTACGCAGATGACTTACCGATACATCGAGTTATTCCATTCATTCAGGGTTTCAAATTTGGGCTGTTTAAAGACAGGACAGGTCCTTAGGAAGGAAATGAAGCTCTATTTGACTGGAAACCTACCCACTCATGGATATCAATGCCAAATAGTTGGCTATGTGCGAATAAAGAGGAGAGCGAGGGTAGCCCTCCAGTTTGGTTTTGAAGGGAACAGGACCACAATCATTTTTAATCAGCCTCTCCCGATCATCAGAGTTCAGGAATTTGAGACAATCTGGGTCGCGCACCAACTAAAAAAGTGAGCGGTAAAACAAACAATGGACCGCTAAGCACAACTGGGATACGAAAGACAATAAACGGTACATCACGGCGCGGGCCCAGAAGTAAATACTAGCATTCTCCCCCTATCTCGAAGGTCCTGCCTGCACGACCTGGTAACTGAATCGACGACTCTGCAGTCGGAAACCAAAAGGAGTCTGGGGACTAGACTTTCTCATTGACGACACGGTAAGAACCCCAATCCCGTGAGCAGAATCCAGTTGGGATACGATGTCGTTCTAATTCTGCTCATTTGACAGTACCTTCATCCCGAGGTATTTGAAACCGTTCACTTCATCAAGTTGACTGGTCGAGGATGCGGCGAGGCGACGCATTATCACAAGTGGCCGCCCAAACCTACGAAATGGGTCACGAGTTTAACTTCGCAGCCACCAAATAGTCGCCCACGCCGGAAACAAAACAGGCCGAGAATTGATTGAAGCCTGGGTCTCGGATGAGAACTCGGTCAATCGATTTATCGATCTGGCGCCGGCGTACAAAGTCCTGCGTAGTCACCTCCAGTCGTGCGACGTCGGTCGATGATTGGGTTTACGTGCCTTATAACTGCCGCTTGTCCTGTTTCTGCCACTACCTCTGACGATGGACTCCTGTACGAGTCTGAAAGCTCAGGACAATAAACGAAGTGTTTCGGTACTCGACTCTTCTTCTTCTTCACACTTTGGTCCTTCCGACCTTTACGGAAAAATTAATCGATTTTAGCAACTGCATTCGCCCGTAATACCACAGACTGTAGATCACCGGAGCTTCAGGTTAGCAGGACAATATCCTCGGCGTATTCGAGATCGGTCAGTAGGCGTCTGAGTGAAAAGTAGACACCATCAAGATTACTGCCACCAGGGCGTAGCGTGCTAAGGTCTAGCACGACGACTACTTTATAACGCCGTAAAGCCCCATGGCGGCAGCGATATGCTGGTCAAGAGCCGTCAGTAGACAGGCTTGCTGGCCATCGTTGCCCTGAGGTTAGGTTCTTGGGTCAAAACGCCAGAAGAGACAATCTTGAAAGAACGATCCGAGCGGCTGTTTGGGATGCACCAGTGCCAAAACATCTAAGAAATCTAATGAATTGTCCGATTTAAATATTACGATCCATGGTGTGGTCTCCGCGCCACTTTTCATCGATCGAACGACGTTGTAAAATAAAACTAATATTTCTTAATCACCTATTTCTGCAGTGATTAATGAAAAAGCACGGTCGGGGGACAGTTGTTGCAGTCTTGCAGTGAGCAAGAAGTGGGGGTAGCGAGGAGAGTTGGAACATGCGAACTGCATTGCGGAAGAAAGGCTGGATATGCCAAACTCGGACAACTTAGGCGTCTTTAAACTCAATTCGAGTTCGAATTCCCATCAGGGCGAGCAAGCGCAGGCAACCTTAAGACAGGGCAGTGAATGTAGACCTTCGCACATATAAATGGCCTTCGAAAGGGTCACAAACCCGACGCACCACCGACGATAATGGTGCAACTCAGTGAGCCGTCCACCTGCGACCTTGTCAAATGGCTATACAGGCACCCGAAGCACCTCACCAATGGGCCACAATATAGCGTCGAAGATTCTCAGGCATCTCATCAAAAGATCTTAAAATAAGCCCTGGTAAAAGCATTCTATCATTTAATGTGGTTGGCCTGTTTTCTTCAATACCACCTGGCCAGACAATTGAGAGCATGTTAACTAACATACGTTGGTTATCCGCCAACAGCATTCCTTGTCTATCGTGTTTGCGCACGCTCTTGAGTGCGATCACCGCTTTAATTGAGACGGAATTAAAGCGATCGCCAATGCTAACACCAAAAAGGCGCGAAAAAGCGTCGAAACTTGGCACTCCAACACAAACAGCAGCAGCCGCCATATCGAGATGGACGTTACCTACGAGGATCTGCGTCCACGGCTCGCTGACTACTGATAATCCAGGCTCAGTCATGTAGGATCCCACCGATTTGACACCTCGCGACTCGGTAATAACAATTGGGACTTTCAAAATCTCCCCCTAACTCCTCGCATCAATCGTAACACGCTTTCCAATCCCCGCATATGGACGCCTGTCGGTAGATGCAACCTCTGCGTCCCCAAGCGCTCTACGGCGAACATCCAAGTGACCAAACAGACCGTTAAGATGAACGAAAATGGGGCGACAAACAATAAATATAAGTAAGAAAACAAAATATCTCACCGACGCGACGGCATAGTGAAAGATGATGCGCAAATCCTCTAATGACGGCGAATTTTCCCTTTTCGAGTATATAGCATAAAAATTGCTGAGGGCTAGAGAAGGGTCCTCAGCCATAGTCGTCATCGGACTAACAGAACACCAAGAACTTTCACGAGCACACTAAATTGTTCACATTTGTAGCCACTGGACCAAGGCTCTTGAGGTCATACTATCAATCCATCAGTTCATAAAAGAACATAACTAGAATTTTGTATCTGCGAGCTCTTGAATACAAGCAGTGCTTCCCCGTCCCCGTTATCTGCAGGCATACGGATTAAATAACTAAAAAGTATGACAGGGGAACGATATGACGGCAAAGAGAACGGAGCGTGAAGAATTCCATGCAGAGTTTCATTGTATTCAGTATCAGGTGTATTTGAGGGAAGTAGGCTTACGCGTTTGAAATCAATATTTGTACATAAAAATCCAAAAAATCAGCAATACAATGAAGGAATTCCAGCAACATGCGAATCAAGACATCGATTCACGTAGGACACTGGTTTTTTATGGTTACAAACTCGCGTATTCCGCTTGTTGGTTTAACATATGTCGATCAGGCCAATATTTAAATGTCTTCGGAGTCTGAGACATTAAAATCGGTCCAAAAAGGTTACTCCATGGTTCCACAACACGGTTTAAAACACGTTGTTTGAGGGGTCGTCCTTGGCGGTTATTTGTAGTGGCGAGTTGGAAGAAGTCGTCGCATCGTAGGGTGCAGTCCAAACCACGCACGATACGGAAAAATTGTATTAAGTCTTTGCGCAACTGTGTATAATTTCAGACGGGTCTTGTATGGCAATGTACTTCGACCTCTTACTAATTTTTTGGCTCGCCTCTGCACCCTTACGAGTAAATTGCAACCCTGCTGCGCACATGATCTCCAAGCTTGGATTGTATATTCAACCTGTGGCCTTACAAAGGTGCCAAAGACTTAAGAGAAGCATTCTCCATATAAAACTGTGCATGTCCGTCCGGTTGTGTACAGCATTAAATTTGCGACTCTAGCTGTCCTATGCAACTGCGTAGAAGGCCTTAGAGTGTCTGCGATCCAGATTCCGAGATCTTTCTTAGTTTCTGTTTCTCGGGATGGCATCCCGTCGGGTTAATATTGCCGCGTATTATGGATCTGATTTCGATTCCCAAGACGCAGTATTACGCATTTACTAAAATTGAGGGACAGGAGCCATCTGCGGGATCACCGTCCAATCGACGACGATTTTTTTGAAAGTTAGTCTCGTCGGCAGCGTCGTGGATGTCTTTCCAGCTTTTGATATCAACTTTGAACATGGCACAATCACGGCCCAACTCCTCTGCTCATTCTTTATTATGCAAGAGAAAGGGAGTCGGTCCGAAGACTGAGTCTTGTGGGACTGCGTACACTACGGCTGTTCGCCTTGATTGATGTTGTTCCACGCAGACAATTTAGGAACGACCGATTAGCAAATTCTCGACTCGTCTGAGATATTTGCCGCTGGTACCCATTACTCTCAACTTGTAGAGTAGACGCTGGTGCGGAACACTCTCTAACGTCCCCGAAAATCGATGTAGGCTATATGCACAGTGTGTTTTGCATTGCTTACACGTGTACAGCTTTGCTCTGTGTATGGCAAGGTCGTTGCCCACGATCTTCCCCCATGAAAGCCGGATTGTGCATTAAACAATAGGCTGTGGGTTTCTAAATAAGCCATAAACTCGGTTTTGATAATATCCTTTAAGATTTTGCAGTAGATTGAAGTCAGACTGACTGTGTAATAAAGGCTGTTTTCCATTCTGTGGAAAAAATTCTACCATCAAACGGTGACTGGCACAGAAAGGATAATGGTGTGGCCAACTCAGGGGAAAGTTCGAAGAGAAGTTTTGCGGGGATCTCGTCTTGGCCAGGAGATCCACATTTCTTCAACCTTTTGTTTTCCCGAATATCGCTTCTTCTTCAAATTCAATAATTTCCATAATCGGATCTCTCATGCTCACATTAGAAGGCGCAACGAAAACTGCAATCCTTATGAAAACAACCTGGTAGGACCGAGAAGAGTGCTCAGCTTTGTTTGTGCTAACCGATATTTCAAACCGCTATCATTTCTCATTACAGCAACGAGATTCCTGTTTCAGGTGCTTTTATGCAAATAGCTGTGCAGCAATTTTGGATTTTCAACAACCCGGTGGAGCAAATAACTTTTGAAATCTCGTCGTCTCTTTTAAATTAAACCCTTCACTTTTTTGTTTGACTTTACATTCTCTAAAGGCCGCATTGGTGTTTTCGCGAAACTCCTCTCACAGCTTTCCTATGCAGTTGATCACTTTTTTGAGATCTTATGTTAGCCACTGAGGTTAGTTAGATGCCTATAGTTTTGATATGTGACAGTAGCTCTTCATATGATGCAATAACCGGCCCTTAAATAAATTCCAGTCCTCTTTAATGTTCCTGGAGAATAGGACATACCAGGCTATTTGTGATGCTTCAGTTTTAATTTGGCGAAAGTCCCCTTGCCATGCATGTAGCCTAATCTCAGTTACTGCATACGGTGCAGAATGTAGTTCGTCATCCCATGGAAATACTGCGTGATCACTTCGACCGAGCGGATGCAGGCATCACACCTTGTTTATATTGTTCGGATTTTTGGTAAAGACGAGACCAAAGCAACTAGCCTGTTGCCCTCCAGTTGAAAATGGAACAGGATGTGTGAAAAGAGCTTTTAGCATCGTCTTTAGAAGACGCTACTCGAAGGTATACTTCGGGCACTTAACAGGTATATCGCCCTATTGAATGCGGGGTGCATTAAAGTCCCCCATGAGTACAACATCTAGTCGACTGGCGATCTGTTTTATGCTTTCCAGCAGACAAGTACCTGCGTCGGGGTCCTCCCGTGGTGGTCGGTAGATAGTTACGACTTTAAGGGACTGCGACCCTCGTGCTTTTATTATCAGCTAAATGGCCTCCGTGTCGTCGTCAATTCGGTCGATCCTCTTAGATACTGTTAATTTACTCTTTGAACACACGACTATTCCTCCACCCTGGCGATCCCTCCTGTCTCCCTGGAACACTTAGTATCCTGATAGTTCTACCTCGCAATCACCTACGTTCTGTAACAGCCACGTATTTGTTATTGCTATAACGTCTGGATACGTATCCTCCACCTGTATTTCCAGTTCGTCGACCTTGGAAAACAGACTTTGAGCTTTTGTTTGAAATAATTTAGGTTTGCAACATTCGACAGTGCTTGGTTCGGTTTGACTCAAGTTTGCCAATATTGTGTTGCTGCCGCCATCATTACGACCGGCTGGTTCCAGAGCAACACCGCGATCCTCCGTATCACTCTTTCCCCTGAAAATAGCCAAGTTGCTTTCTCCAGGTGCATGTCTCTTCTTGAGCTCCGCCCCTAACCCGCGGCATTTCAGATGATCTGCTTGAGATTAGTCCGGCTGTAAAAGCTCTTGTGGGAGAACCATAGGGTTGCTTTTTCTGGACAGAAGTGAAATAGTCTATTCTTTTCTGCCCAAAACAATTTCAAGGGTTCGCGGTTGCATGGTTCCCGAATTTTCGTTCTTCTGTCTACCGATCCTGAAGGCTGCGCGAATGGTTACTTTTTCATTCAAATTAAGCATATTATTCAACAGGCGTGGAGACATATTAAGGTCAGTGGAAATCCTCTCCTTCGGGGTAAGAGCATTCGACCCCGATAGGCCATGGACGATCACGCAATTTTGACGATCAAGAGGTTCCGCTGTTCAAGTTCCGACCACAATGTAAACTGAAGCTCCCAGGGGTCCACCAGAGTCGTTTTAGGCTTCATACTCGTGCTGTGATGCCTACCTACTCCACTTTGCCACGTGTCTTTCCCTTCTCTTTTAAGTAAGGGTTCTGTTGAGCTCACGGAATGGCTGAGAGAAGTTGATTGTTCACTTCGGTTGTCTGCCATAGAAACAAGAGGCTGCATCGTTACTATCCTAGCGTTATGGGTATCCGTGTCCTTACACCAAGATTTTTTCATTTTAGAATCACAGAGATTTTTGAAATGGCCTCAAGGATGCGCCAAGTGCGCGCAGACGATATCCGTTTACAATAATAGTAATAATAACAATAATAATTTTGTTTAATGCCAGTTTATAAGCATTTTCAGGGAAAGGTTAAACACAAATCCGAACAGTGGTGAGAAAAACACCTGACATGAGAGAAATAAAAATAAAGGCGATGAGGATTTTTAATAGTTTGGAGGGTTCGGGAGAAAAAACCTACTACCCATCAAATGAGGACAGTCAATTAAGGGAGGAGTAGCACTGCATCGTATATTATCAGTCGTAATTTCTTTCATGAAATTTTGATTGGACTAAACAGAAGCACTGACGAACAGCTGTCGCTTTCGGCTAAAGAAATTGTCCTTGGTGAGACCGGCCATAGGGATCAGAGACCACGAACGCCATCGCTACGGCACATTTGATCGATGGATTCAGCACCAAAAATTTGTCGGTTTTTCTAAATTCAAATTCGAGTAATTGTTCTCTTAAACAAAGGATAATTTTGCAGTTTTCACTTTTCTGGGTACTTTATTCCAAATAGCAATTTCGTTCAGAGTAAAGAACCGACGATATTTAGCGCAACGTGCCAGAGGAAGAAATAAAAAGACCTCACGGTGACTGTTACCTCGGGAGTGGACTAAATGTCTTAAATTAGTGAGTGGGTTAAAGGTACGATTATATAAAAGCTTAAATAGTAAAAATAGTGCCTTTTTAAATCTACGAAATCACAATGGATCCGTTATACTGCCACATGCAGGCCGATCTTCTCCGCATTTTTGTCTTTTCATGAGCGACAGTTTTATCTTATGTAAAGTCAATCTAATTTTTTATCCTTAATTGAAGTTTTGTCCCTGCCAGCTCATCATTTTTCTCAACGGACTACTAATTCGTAAACTATTAATTGCATATTGTACAGATTCTGCCTAACTCGACTAAAATACATATGAAAATTTATTTTGCTAGCTTTGAAATGACCCCGATGGGTCTTTAATAAAAGTGTCTTATTTTATTTGTTTATTTCTTACAAACTTTATTCTTTGACCGTTTTGGAGTTTTGCTCT